ACCTTAAAGCGTAAAAAAATACATATGCAAAAAATTATTTTTTATTTAATAAAAATGCCAAACCCTCCGCTGAGGTTGTGTGATAGTGTGGAATATGTTGAGGAAACTGAAACTTATTTGAAAATAAATGCAATTAACGGAAAAATCAAGTATAACACAAATAAGTTTTGTAACATTATTTCACATAACCCACTTTTTTTAGAACTAAAAACGTTGGAAATTTATTAGTAAGAGCTTGTATTTAATTTAGAAATTTTAAATTAAAAAATTAAAAATAATTTCTTAAGAAATGATACTTCAAGAATTATTTTTGCTTACAACTATTTTATCTACTTTGAAGCGTTGCCACTTATTTGTAAAAATAAAAATTAATTATTAGGAAACAAATATTAAGTTAATAATAATAAAGTAATTTCCAGTCATGTGTTCGTCAGAAACTTTAAAAATAATCTTAACATTGAGCATTTTTCCTTAATTTTAATATTTAGGCTTATGTATTGTTGTAAATATTTTTTGTTTTTTCAATTAATTAATTTTTACTCCTTTAATCAAAAGAAAAACGCAAAATAAATTTTATTCATATTTTGTTACCTAACCCAGTGCCAATAACTCAAGATCACTGAGACCCATAAGTTGTATACTTCTATACTTTAGTAGCATAAGTCTACAAAGCATTTATTTTAATGTTTTATTAAAATTATTAGTACAACATAATATTACAACTTCTATTCTTCCTGTGATCACCTTCGCACCATGTTAGCTAATGAAAACTAGAGGTGTGGCAACTTGTAAACACCTTTAGTAATTACAATATATTTTAATTTTTTTTTCATTTTTTACAATTCAGTTGTTTCTAGTAATAAATTGAAAAAATGTTGCATACATTTAGGAGGATATTTAATAAGTTTTGGTTTAGACTTATGGACCTGCATGCGTTAGTAAAATGGTAAGACATAAAATATTTCGACAAAATTTTAGCCAAATATAACGCTTGGTATATATCACTCATAAGCCTTCACCCAATGCAACGCTGTAAGGAACTCAATGCACTCAGTCGATTACTACACTTCACACCTTCAAATTACCATTAGCACCTCTATATTACTCAATTATAAATAATTTACCAATGAGATTTATTAACGAACATTCATATGTCACTAATAACTGGATTATGACATATGTGTTTACTCAAACAAACATCGCGTGTGTAATTTGCGCTCAATCATTTGGTTTGCTTTTACGAATGTAAATAGACTGAGTCTCGCCGCTCCTTTGCACATATTTACAAAGGTATACACTCTCACATATACCGTGAGAGAGTGTATAGTGTTGGATGACATTTTGAACATATGGCGCTGAATCATCTCGACGCGACTATGAAATACTCACGAGGCACTTACTGATTACTCAAAAGGCACTTTCATTTTATTTCTTCAATATTTAATAATAAGTATCATGCGGTATTGTCACGCTACCCAAGGTGTGTGAGTTTGCATTATTTTTATGGTCATGAACTTGAACTTTAAAGAAATGAGATTGTGGCATGTGAATGGTAGAAATTTTAAAAATACTTACGTAAGTATGTAGGTATGTTAATAGGTATATTTTACACACGGAAATTACTCAATCATTTTGCACTAATGGAATTCGTTTTAGTGAGCTGAGCTTCAATCGGTCGGGCGACGTCGATTCGACCGCATTCTATACATTTTCGCTGCTAATAATAATAATTTCCATCGCATGCGTATCATGACCTAAGTAGCTTGCCTTGGTTGCACTACCTAACAAATAAACAGTTTACCCTTACTCCAAGCGGCTCCTTACCACTCGAAGTATATTTGATTCACTATCTTGCCGAAGATACCGATTTTGAAGAACGCCAACTGATTTTATAATTTAACTTTTTTGTTATTAGTTACTATATATTTATAGCTAGTTTCTAGTACTTATGATGGTTTTTTGATCCTAAATCTGGGATTTTAATCCAAAGTGAAGTTAAGTTCTTTTTTTTCATTTTATATCACAGGTTTTCATAAGTGTTATCGACAAATTAATTTTCCTAATTATAAATAAATAAAATTTATTCATATTTATATAAGTTTTATATCTAATTCAAATGCAGACAAGTAAAAGTTATTCGTGATGACTTTTTTGAAAATATATTCCGGTCGGTTATTATTTCTAAAATACTTCGTTGCACGTTTAAAACTTATTTATATTCGCTTCTAGCAAAAGTTTTAATTTTCTTTTTTGTTTTAGATTTTTCTCGAAGTTTTTTCTTGCATTTTTAAGTTTTCCCTCTTAATTTACATTTTTCATTTAACAAAACCTAAATAGTTTTAAGAAATACATATTTAGTTAATCTAATAAAGTATGAAAATAAATAGAAATGGCGAAAACCAAAAGTCAGTCTCTTTTCGTTCAACTCATGGCAACTTAATGAAAATCTTTAATATGAACTTACAAAGCATTTAGCAAACCTATATATAGTTATATATACGAGGTGTGTTCAAAAGAAAAGGTGAATTTGAATTTTTCGCGGGCTGTGTACAATTAATTATCGATATTTTATTTTTGTTACAATCGGACACATATGTTTATCATGTGCTTGCCTTAGGAGCTAATTTCAATTAGTAGTTTGTTTGTGACAACAGAAAATGTTAGTCACGTTTTTGGTTGCTCTTCGATTTTTGACTTTTGAAAGAAATTAATCAAAAAAATTTAATTTAGTTTAAAATGGAATAAAATGCCACAAGAGACTTGAAACGTTGACTGTGGCATTCGGTGAGTCCACAAAAAATTATTTATAAGCGGTACAAGCGCTTTACAGAAGGCCGAGTTGATAACGATGAGCATCATGGAGGTGCGACTACGGCAACAATTTTTTGGGCATGAAACGTGGGGCAGCAATCCAAAATTGCTAAATTTCGAACAAAAGCAATGTCGCATTAGTTTCGTCCAAAGGTGTTGTATGATGTCAACGATGCTCCGGGTTTGTTCAAACGGCTCATAATTGGTGACAAAACGTGGGCGTATGGTTATGATGTCGAAACCAAGGCCCAATCATCCCAACAGAAGCTGCCAAATGAGCCAAGACCGAAAAATATAAGCCAAGTTCGAACAAATGTTAAGGTTTTTCTCACTATTTTCTTTGATTACAATTACAATGGTGTGGTGCTTCATAAGTTTCTGCCAAAAGGTCGTACAGTTAATAAGGAGTACTACAAGGAAGTAATGCATGAAGCAATACTGCGCAAATGATCGGAATTGTAGAAAAACAAATCGGGGATTCTGCATCACGATAATGCACCAGCTCACATATAATGCTCGTGATTTTTTGGCAAAAAACAAAACCTTAATCATGCCTTAACTACCGTATTCACCAGATTTGGCTCCCTGCGACTTTTTCCTATTTCCAAAACTGAAGAAGCCTATGAAAGGAAAATGTTTTGCCACAATTGATGGCATCAAGTCAGAATCGAGGAATGGGGGGAAAATCGAGGGGGCTGATGGCCATACCGAAAAGCGCATTTCAGAAGTGCTTCGAGGATTGGATAAAGCGTTGGCACAAGTGTTTTATATCTGAGTAGGATTACTTTGAAAGAGACAAAAGAGATATTGATGAATAAATAAGTACTTTTCAAAATAAGTTAAAAATTCATCTTTTCCTTTGAACACACCTCGTACCTCGTACCCGCTCTTGCACTCGACCTTCTTGCAATTATTTCAATCAAAGCCAATTGCAGAACTGACCTAAATTATCAACCAACTAATTTTAGGTCAAAACATTCAAGACAGCAACTCGTATGCTTCATTTAGATTTAGATTTGTGTAACTAACGGTAAATCTTAAAATATCAAGGTCCGCAAATTGAACCGAAAACTGCTCACCAAATTATAATAAATTAACTAATTCTGAGAATAAAATTACTCTGATATTAATCAGTGCCTGCCTAATCAGTGAAATTACGAGTTAAATGAGGTCAACCAATGGTTTGCTTACACAGGGTTGCATAAAATTTCGGTATAATTCATTAATGATTAGCGGCAGTCGTTTTTGTAAGTGATTACTGAATGCTCATACCAAAATGTTGTATACAAACATTAAAACAAATATAAATAATGGAAATGCGCTTGGACTAATAAATGACTGTCTGGTAGTGCAACGTATACCTAAGCTGGCACTCTAGTGTAGAGAAATATCAAAATTAATTAATAAAATAATAAATACTTAAGTGTTGAGCAAATTAAATTTTTAGGTTAGGATGATATACGATATTAATCCTACTCCTTTAGGAAAATTATATTTACCATATACAAGTAAAATGAAAAACATAAAAATAATAACGGAACTAAGAAAGGTTCCACTCTACTATTTGAGGCGCTATGCAATAAACATACATAATCACAAAACAAAATTTAGAACAAATTCCAATCAATCGGAGTATACATCATGGATCATTCTCATCTATACCTTTAAATTTGTTTATATTATTATTTACTTAAATCTAGTGAAAGCTGTTCAAGCTTTGTTTTTTATGAATGAACCAAGTAGGTTTCACATATGAAAACTTCGTTCGTATAATTGCACGAACATCGGCAATCACGATATATAACTTATAGTAAAGCTCTTAACTATTCAAATCTAAAGTTGTCCACTTTCTATCAAACAATCAGTAGTACCCATAAAAATTGCACCAGTTGCCGGACCATCTAGACGCCATATTTTTGCCTTAAGGCCCCAACATAGACTTATGTTAAAGTTATTTTCAATTTGCTTATTGAGACTTCTGCTAGAATGTGGGGGGTTATTTATGAGTTCTAAGATCATCTAGTTCCTGATTCAAAGCTCTAGGTAGAAAGTCACCACAATTTTAAAGAGGCAAAAGCAAATCTTTGCTCGAGTCTGATTTCCTTTAAATATGACTTCTTGTAATAATCACCCTATATCATATAAGCAGAGGTACTTAGGGTAAAGTTTGTTCTATATTTCATCGGAACTATTAGAATTATTACTTCATTATCATAACAATTAAAAACTCTCACCACTGCTCCTGATGTAATTATTCCGTCCCCTAATAGTTACTACCACGCGATGCTTTACTGGGTGATTATATCTCTCCATAAACTACTTTATTTCGACCATTTCATTTATCATTGATTCAGCTTTAAAACTCAAAAATGTCATTTGAATATTTCAAAAATATATGTATCAGTTTTGACAAAGATTGAAAATGTTAGAAAAAAATGCAAAAATTTCAGTGTTGCGAACAATGATCGGCTTAGGCGAAGAGATCGAACCACATTTTATCGTACCGCAGAACTCAATTTCGAATATACGCCAAAAAATGGGACTCAGCGAACGTACAGGAATGACGAATACACAAATGCCAACGCTCATACCGTTGGAGAACTCACTGCGCAGCACACAACCGGCCACCGTCAAGTGTCCGCACTGCGAGAGCATGGCGAAGAATTTCCTCTACCTCGAGAGTCTCATACGCAACAACTACAATCCAAAATCGCAATGTGGCCTCTGCTACTCATCGCTCAAATATCTGCAATATGTGAACAAGAGTATTATGCAAGTCTTTGGCAATTTCGAGAGTATCGTCAATGCCGCCAACACATTTACTGGTAACCATCGACCTCGTTCGCCAATTACAACTGCAACTGTACGCGATACGCGCGCGATCACAGCCAAGTCGCCCACCAAACTCGCTGCCGCTAAAAAGAGCTTAACGAAAAAGCCATTGAAGGAAGGTGGTAAAGTGTCGCGTCCAGTTTTGCAGACAAACACGAAAAGTGTGACTAATGCGCGCTTAACTGGTGGCGCGAAGCATGTCGGCAAATCACGCAGTCATCACGCTAGCGCCAAGACAAAGGCAAAGAATAAGAAAGCAAACAATGGGCGTCTACCCGGTGGTTTTGACGGTAAGCGCAAGAAGTCCGCACTCGCAAAGCCGAACAGTGGCAAGCAGAAGCATGCGAAGTCGAAGCGAAGCAAAGTTACCGCGCCACAAACTGGGAAGTAATGTGGCCATCAGTTAGAGTTGAGATGTCGCTAGCTTGTTCTAGCAGAGCTTGGACATTGGTAGCAATCGAGTTTATATTTTTTAGTATGATTTTTTTCTATTTTGGAAGGCAAAATTAAAATTCGAATGTGATTTAGTAATTTTTTAGTATTTGTTTATATTGAATAAAATGCTTTTAAACAAATGATCTGTGGTTTTAAGGGTGGGGCGATTCACCGATGCCCATACAGACAGTAATATTAGCTATTTTATTAGGATCATGAAATGTGAGGCTGAGTCTGTTTTGTATGATCCAAAGCCTAAAAAAAGGGGAAAATGATTTGGTGATGTTTCCAAACCAATATTCCCTACGAAATCAATATAAATTTTTTTAAATAGATACGAAACCAGTCGGACAATGATTCGCTGTAAATTCGACCAAGATTTCTCCTTTTTGATTTTTGACACGATTTCATATTCCCGCATTTTCCGAACCAGTTTGTAGCCTAACTTTCCTCGACTAGACTGCATATCGACAAGGAAGCTTCAATATGTTCCTTATATTTTACTAATAGTACGTCCTCGTCTTTTGATACTAATCTCTTAGAACAGTAGTTTTACTATTAATATAATCAACGTATGTTCTAAGACAGAACATTTGGTAGATAAAATAATCTAGGGTGGTCCGACTGAAACAATTGAATTAACTTGGAAATTACTGAAAGAGTCTTTCAAAAGATGCTCTGAATAAGCAAAGGCTTAGCGATAAAATAAATACAAAAGTTTAATAATGGATCCAATTTCAAACTAATTCGTCGCTAAGATCCGACTGAATCCAAACTATAACTGAGAATATGGCGACTTTAAGCGTAAATGACAAAGCAAGAGAAGATTTGGCTTGAGGGAAATAATCCTAAATAAATAGAATAATGTTAGTTTTGTGGACCAATAACTTTGGCAACTAGATAAAATTGAATCTGAGCGATTAATTGAGTAATGTCCGCTTTAAGTTAATCGACTAATATAACAAATAAATTTTGAAGACCTTAAGTAATAATAATAAAGAAATGTGTGAAAAAACGAAGGTCTCTAAAGACTCTAACTGTTGGAAAATTATTGGATTCGGGAAATATTTCAGAAGCATAGTGCCAAAGCTTTTTATTTCCCCTTTGATTTTTTAGGATATTTCGTATACTACATATATAAAACCGGCAACACATGGATTAATAAATTTTGTTCATCCGCATACATTAGACTCTAACAAAAAGTATTTAAAATCAAGCCTTTCAAGCTTTAAAACAAACGACCGATGACTTTACAAAACATCAAGTAAAAATCAGCATAGAATAACAACACATAAATTGTGAATATTATTGTTTACAAAAGATGTTAATAAATAAAATTTTCAAAAAAACAAACACTACAAGGTCTATGAACCCTGGAAAAATGTAAATATTATTGTTTACACAAAAAGTGCCGGTTTGATAATACCAAAACAAAATCGATTTTGACCGAAAACTTTTCAAACTTGTTTGTTTCGTCAACGTTCGAAATGAAGTCGGTCTTTTTGACACAACGTGAGTAAATGCCAAAACGAGTTGATGAATAATTTTCAAACCGAAAAATTTTTCAAGCTGAACGGATGCAAATTTGCTTCGTAAAAATATCAAAAACTTATAAGGACTAACAAAAAAATAATAGCAAGGACTAAATATATATAACAATATAATAGTGAATAACCTAATAATATCCTTAACTGTACAACAAAGAGAGAAACAAGACAAAAGCCTTAGAAAGAAGTGCCCACCACCTTCGAGCGTTTTACGCGAAAATTGTGAAGGAAAAGCCAACAAACCGCGCGCACGTTTTATTAGTGTAAAAGCCAGCTAGTGTAGGACCTTCCTCGTTCACCGCCATGGCGGCACCCGAAGAAAAAGAAAAGAAGGAGAAATACGACGACCGCTTCGATTATTTTAATAATTATGTCATGAAAACTTTACGTTTGAAAAATGAACGCTGGGTAAAACTAATGGGAATGCCCGAGTCAAAAGTAAGCTCGCGCGAACATATTTTTGGCAATTGATTTGTATGCTTAAGAAATTTTTGATTTGGAAATTTTTTAATTTTAAAGAGTTCTTTAGTGTTGAAAAACCAAGTGCGTGACTGTAAGAACACTCGAAACAATTATTTTTTAAAACGGAAACTGCTCAAATTCTGTTATAGATGTTTTTCGATATTATCGATTTCACATCAACTTGACCAGATGATTTTAGATCTGAATGAATAGATAAGTATGTACAAGTCTTTCTGGATTGTATGAATAACTCAAGCAATACAGACTATTCCGTGAAACACGATCTGAGCTTTACAAATCCCTAAGTTGGATGGATCCCATGTCGAACAATAATGATTATGGCATCAACGAATATCAAGCACTTGAGTAGGCTTCGTCTTTTGGGGCGATTGTAAGAAGGTGCGTTAAATATTAGACCAATGCACTTTAAGAATAAACAATGAACCCTCGAACCATATACATATATATAGAAAATTGCTTATAGTGACGTCTATAGAAGATCCAGTTGATTATTAAATATTTTTAAAGTGAGAAAAGGCCAATCCATTTACCAGATCATTCGTGCGATAGAAGCCACGTTTAAACTAGTTCTAGAACATTCCTGTATCAATAACTCAAGGATCAAGATCTTGTAAACCATTTACTGTATAAGATCAAAACAATTATAATTTTTATTCGAGAATATGTTTGTAACTGAAGTTTTACTCACTCTTGTCTTCTAATGTACTTTCAACCAGGAAATAATCCAAGTATTCCTCAACAACTCTAGCCAACCGCGTTTGGTATTTTATCTGAATAACGCTTCCATTTTGGTTCCCGCCTTTGACTTCCCCGCAAAGTCGCGCAGTAAAATTGTCTACTTCATGCGATGCGAAATACCTTCCGATCTGTCGTTGCAAGATATGGACAGCGTAAGTGGTTGCCATATCATTGGGTTTAACATATTAATTATCTTTTACCAACAAAAACACGTAGAAACTAATGATTGGCGATATACTACCAAATGTACTGGAAAATCTCTCGGTGCTCTGTGATGATGTTATCTTCCCCGTGGTCAATAATCCAGTCAATCAAGACGGTTGGACATCGGTGATAGTTAATGATATGAAAACCGAATCACAAGACTTACGCAACGGCATCGCTCAAATGAAGGGTATAGTTATAAATCGTACAATTCTACCGTTACCAATTTGTATCGACGAAGTGATGGATTGCGCACCACAAATCGCAAGCGGGTGAGTCTGGACAGATATGTTAGGTGACGTGCGAGTTGGAAAAGATTTGGCGCTGCTTTAAGAAAAATTTGTGTTGAATAGAAGAATTAAAAAGTATAATTTGAAGCTTCTGAGGTATTATCCTAAGAATAGTGCTTCTAGTAAGATTTTGTTTGAGTTATATATCAACCCTAATTTGCAAAAAGTTACGGAAAGTTAACTTTCGGGTCGGTTCGTATACCATGGGTTCTTTCTGAAAAATTTGAGCAACTGATTGAACTATCAGTGAGGTAACCTCTGTACCGGTACTTTTTGAGATGGAGCGTACGAAAGTGTAAATCGTTCTTAGAACATCTAATATTATAGAGTATTTATGAACCAGATCTTTAAGATCGAAAACTAATGGGTTCAACTCCAGGATTCATTGCCTTACTTAAGTCATTAACATACAATTCTTTTAAAAAAATTTAATTTGGTGCCTAGTTCTTAACCACATCTCTCTAATCCAGTAACTTAAATAACTTCAACAACCTCCTCAAGCATTCCCTGGAATTCATGGTGGTGAAATGGCTCGACTCGGTAGAAGATTTGGTTTTGGTAAAGGCACGTGAACGAATCTATGCCAAGGAAACACATCCGAAACCGGATTTGCTCTTCAGCTTCTGGGAGTCACGCTTAGAGAACTTGGAGAATTTAGCCGATCAATTAGGTGATAAGCGCATAAAAACTATCGGTTTTGTGCTAGAAAAAATAAACTCTGTTTTCGAGTCCACATATCGAAAGATTGTGGAGCTGGTGCTGCAATCTTTAGCCGAAGCACGTGATATAACTAAATACTTAGCACCACTGGTAAGAGCACAACAAGAATAGCGCACTTAGAATTGAAAATACTATAAGCTATTGAACAAAATCTTTATATAGCGCAAAGTTATCGATGCTTTCGAAGTGAATCGAATGGATGAAAACCGTGCACAATTGCGTCCGGTACTCCTAACTATCGGGCTGGTGTGGGGTCATTCAAAATACTTTCACACTCTGGAAAATATGGTTCTGCTCTTCGAATTGTGGCACAATTCGCTAATCGAGAATGTCATCTTAACCATAGAACCCGAAAGCTGTTTCGGTGATGTGGACGAGGCCTATAAACGCATAATATTGAATATTGATCACGTGGCATACTACAAGTAAGTGATAGAGTGAGCTCAATTGGCTAAACAATAATTTGACCACTTAAAAATGCAGGAAAACATATGATCACTGTCGCTCGAGTTTGAAGAAATTCAAAATTGGCACACAATTCAACTCACAAGACTGGACATGGCATCCGAAAACAATTTTCGATCGCTTAGATCGTTTTGTCGAACGTCTGTATGTGATGAGGACAATTTTCGATACCGGCCGTGATTTTCTAAAGTTAGAAAAGATCGCAGTTGGCGGTTTGAAGGGTCGCCAAATATCAGCAGCTCTAACGAAAATTCTGGAGGAATTCAATAATAAGTATCGTGATTGGACCAATGGTGTGACATATAACGTGCTCGATCCCGACGAGTCAGTTGAACAATTTCAACAGGATGTTGAGAAATTTAATGACTTCGCCGACAAATTAGAGCGACGCATTGCCTTTCAATTCGAATTGGCTCTGCTGGACTCACATGATCTAATGCTTTGCGGAAGCTTGTTGCTACGTCCGATTATCAAGGAACAATTGGATCCACATATGCATATACTAGTGGATGATTTGGCCGAAGAGATACATGCAGTGAAAAAGGATTTCAACGTTTTCGAGGACATTTACAGAAAATCGGGTGTGAAGGTGAGTAATATAAATGAATTAGGAATTTAAGAATTAAAAATAATAAAGGCATTTATTTTTCATAATAAGGAAATGTACTATTTTTAAAATCATCCAAG